TGTCCATTTCAGCACAGTCCATAACCTTTCTTATTATTTCACCTTTGCTTGGAATTAATTTATTTTTCCATTTCTAGGCAAAGGCAATCCTTGCCGCCGTAATTATATGTAATATTAAATACTGAATTTCTTTTTTATATTTCACAGTCATTATTCCCAATAAAAAACTTCAGGTTTTCATTCTATTTTAACACCTGTTATTACCTCTAGCCACCTGTTATTACTCTGCTAAATAATTTTAACAGAAAATCCAAAAAGGGATCATCTATGACCCTGATGACGCACCTATGGCACACATGCCAGAGGTAGCATGCAGAGCCCACTCTGTGGGCATTTGTGTGGCAGCCAGCTGCTCTTCTGGGTTCTGTTTCATGCATGCGCACTGGCCAGCTGTTCTCTTTTGGGTTCCAGCACATGCGCACTCCAGTTTTGGCACTCAGTGCTGAAATGGTTAACCATCACTGATCTAAGCCATGATGAACATCTTTATTCAAACAATGAGTTACTTCATTTGGATTTTGTGACATTCTGTATTAAAATTATTATGTGATTATATTAGGTTTATACTCTGTCTTTATTTTACATCACTCAGTGGTACACATAATGCATAACCTTAATAGCCCAACAATGATTGCACGAGATGGGCTGAGTGGAGAGAGAGAGAGAGAGAATGAAAAGCCAACTTTCTAACTGCTAAACCAAAGTGGCTCTCAAAATAAATATCACTATCACAACCAAGCTATGCATCTTTAATAACTTTTACATAATGCTAACTCCACTACCATTCACAAACATTTTTATTTCTCCCATTCTGCAGAATATTCACTGGCATTAGCATCCCTCAAGAGTCCTTGAGTGGCTTTTAAAGAGAGAAAAGATAGATGAATATATTAAAGAGGGGGTTTCAGTCATCATTTTTTGTCCATTAACCTAGGTAAAAGGTTAAAAACATCCTCAAATCAAACTTGGCTTCTGATGGATTCAAGCCATTTCATATGTCCCATGATTAGGACATAACCAAGTATCAGTCTGACAAGGTTATTCTTACTACAGATGTTAAATATACTACTTATAACTTAGTAAAAATTGCATACCCTTAAGAGCTACCAATATGCTCAGAATGTTAGCATAGTGTAGGAAAACATATTAAAATATAATGCAGTTAATAAGTACAAAATCCCCTTTAAAATCCCCCTTACCCAGGTTTAAAAATAATGAAAGAACAGATTAAAAAGACACAGAATTGTATTTTATAAATTGCATATACTTGTAAATTCTGCATTACCTCATTGCACTCATCCACAAGAATAAAGAAAAGATCAAATCTAGACATGATAGGGGCTGATAAGTTTATATTCTGTTTCAAAGACTTGGCTCTATCATAACGTCCACCAACTGGATTTGCTGCTGCCAAAATTGATGTTCTAGCATTTAAAGTGGCCTGTTAAAAAAGAAAGAAAATAATAAAAATATAACACCCCCCCCCCCCAAAATCTTCCTGGAAAAATAGCTAAAAGCTGATCAAACTGCGAACAAATAATAGGCAGGAAGAACAATTATATTCTTTCCCTCTCTTATCTTAAAAGACAGATTATTATTGGGTCAAGCAAACGTTTTTTAAAATGAATTTTGTTGATAGCTGGTAAAAGCGCCTGATTAAGCCTCCAATCTTGTCCCAGTTAACAAACTTACATAGCTAGCTTCATCCATACTATGCATATCTGCCTGAAACAAAGACTGCAATTTAAATAAAACAATATGTTTTAATTCAGAGCAATTAAGGTAGGTTTGTTGCCTTGGAGCAGAATAAAATGTCCCTTTCAAGCAGTTTGGAGCACCAAACTCCTCATTTTGCATTGATGTATGTTACACAAACTTGTATGCTTAAAACGAAAAGAACAGCTCTGTATCTACCCAAGGATGACTCTTGTCCCAAAATTATTCCTCCATAACATAAATTTTAATATACGGAAAATACTGGATGAGGTCTGGGTACTTGAGAGACCACCTATGTCCATTAAAACCCACTAGGCCAATTTGATTTGGCAGGTTTCATGTGCTTCAGATTCCTTATATTAAACAAGCCTATCTAAGTAGTGGGATTCCATAAACATGATTTCTCTGCTCCCTCAATCAGGAATGATGTTCCCTGAAAACTGGATGGCACCCATCCTACTGATGTTTTGAAAGGGCTGGAAGATCTGGCTTTTCTCTCTTAATTATTTTGTTTGTCATCTTTGCTATTGTTTATTCTTTTTCCTGCTTCTTATTGCATTTTTAAAAAGAGATTTTATTTGGAACTGGAGCAACATATTAATGTAGCCCAACTCCAAGTGACTTTGGATGACTTATACTTACGTAAAGACTGATTCTGTTATAGTGCATAACCTCTCTAAATAAACTATTTAGTCACAGAATAACATTTTTTTTTTTTTTTTTTAAGCAG